CCCTGCCTGGCAATCTCTCCTCCCCTGAATCAGTCTTGGATGAAACACCCACAGGATTTCTGAACCTGGGCTTCTGTGAAGAAGATTCATCCCAGGAGCCAGACATTCCCAGTGACCAGCCCCAGGTGGCACCCACAACATCTGGATCCAGGCCATTCAGGGTCTGGAAGCTGGTGAGGAAGCAAATGTCCCATGCACTGAGAGCACTGTACAGCTGCTGCTGCTGTTGCTGCCTGCCCACCCCAAGGTGAGCCCTGAACCCTTGCATCAGGGGCCACAAGGAAAGAGAGGACAGTGGAGACGTATATGGAGAACAGTTGGGCCACACAGATGAATTCCTATGTTGTCTTTTCAATATGCCATTTTATATCCTTATACCCACTCAGAAGGCCCAGAATTTGATATGTAGTACATTAGATGGCAAATTCACAGCTTCCTGTTCATGTAAAGTCCTGGAAGGTTGAGGCAAAAGCAGATAGCCTAAAATGGGGACGACAGGGTGGGAAGGAAGGGAGGAGAGTTTTTCTAATGGGGTTAAAGATTCAGAATGGAGGAATCAGGAAGGGAAATATAGCACAGAAATTTATCTGTCAAAGTCACTAATAGAGGTGCTTTCATGTTTCTTTCTCCTTTGAAGTGTGGAAACTGAAATGGCCCAATAGAATTCCAGACCTGGTGAGGAGTGACTGCCACAGAAGTGAGCCAGAACTCATCTCCAGAGTGCCAGCTTCCTCCAACCCACGGCAACAGGCTCCTGCCTGCATTCATCCTCCAGCTATTGGGTCTGAGCTGCCACTTTGCATCTCTTTCAGCTTAATCCAGCTTCAGAAATGTTGTGGGACAATTGGGGTTCATAAAGCACATGGACCCCATGACTCTCTACCTTCCTAGCTTTGGTTGTGCTTTTAGGACCACTCACACTGCATGGAAAACAGCAGGGTCTACAACCAGGAAGGACTTCATACCAATCACGGCTGCTCATCATCTTGGTCACTTTAACCCTCCAACTTACTCTGTGACTGCCTTTTGGACAAAACAGCAAGACCTGTGTAAATCCTCTGGAAAATGGAGGTGGGTGAAAGGAGATAAAGAGGACTAACTGGGGAACAATTTTGTGACAGGAATAGATGACATGAGAGGTGGTATAGAATACGGAGTAGAGTCTGTCCTGAGGAACTTCCTGTCAACAAAGTAACATGAAAGAGATGTGTGTGCTGACCTGTGACAGGGGCTGTGCACAGTCTACAGCAGGAACAAACCTCCCCTGAAGTGCAGACTGGGACGGAGCTAGAAATAGCAAGCAATGAGGAGGAGAGGGCCTGCTCTGATGGTTCCTAGCATGTGTCAATGCACACAAGTAGGATGTTGACTTGGAAATAACATCCTGTTCATTCCTACAGAGCTAGGGTATAGCAGGAGAAAAGTGCAGCACTATTGGTCAGTGGAGTTCCATCCTCCTCAGCGCTGAGTAAGTCTTGTCTGTTAAAGTCTCACTAAAAGAGGCACTTTCCTTATTCTTTTGGGTTTTATTTGGGGAAAGTGAAATGCTCTACTTAAACTACAGTCTTGGTGTGGTGTAGTGCAACAGGAAGGATCCAGGCTGGAAATCTGTGTCCTGTGTGATGATATGTTAGAGCTACAGGTTCCAGTATCCATCCTCCACGTTAGGGTCTCAGCTGCCATCTTCCCCATCCTTCACCTCACTGCTGCCCCTGCACTGTTGTTGAACATCCCTGAGAGTCATGTGTAGCATCGACCCAATGAATGTCTACATCCCTCATGGTTCCTGTGGGACCAGGGTTCCACGGCATCTAAAAGGGCTGCCTCTGTCAACAGGACACACTGGCACACAGGTCTCAGGCTTCCTTCATCTTTGATTCATTCATCACCTCCAAACTGCTTTCTGACTGTCTTTCAGAAGAACTGCAGTAACTGTAAATCCAGTGGGAGATGGGAGAATGGAGATAAGGGGGAGGAAGAGGGGAAAGGAAGTGGAGAGGATGGAGAGGAAATGAGAGGACCGGTAGAGAGAGGGTAGAGTTTGTCCAGAGGAGCTTACCTGAAATGAGTCAGGAGAAAAGGAGATTTTCATGGGACAGGGGTCTTGAAAAGTGAGACCAGGAACAAATGTCTCAAACAGAGTGGAGTGTTACCCTGGGTTTATTTCCAGGCATGAGGAGGAAAGACCCTGCTCTGATGGTTCCTGGTATAAGTCAATGTAGTGAAGTATGAGGCTGCTTTGGAAAGGGGCTTCCATTCTGGGCTACTGAAGAAGGGTCTGGCAGAAGAGAAGGGTGGCTCCATCATGTAGTGGAGTCCTCTGCCGCTCCTGTCTGACATGTCCTTTGGCAGATCTGATGACGTCTATGTCTTTGTCTCCATAGCCTCCTTCATCCAGGATTCCCTTGCTGTCTCCCACCTCCTGATCCAAGAATCTTACATCATTTTTTCCATCTCATGGAGGGATTTATAACTGACATTTGACCTTACATTAACATTGTTCTGCTTCAATGTGGGAAGGTAAGTAGGCCTTGCCAAGCCTGATCCTGGGTTGTTGTCTTTACAAGGCCATAACACTGGACTTCTCTATGACCAATGCCCACCATTGGGATCAGACTTACATGGAAACATTGATCATCATGGATCTCTTGATGACAGCCCCTGGTGCAGTGTGAAGCACTGGTTGAGGTGTAGTGTCTGAACTGTTTTCCAGGACACCTTCCAGGTAGGGAGCAGATCACTGATTTGGCAAGGGGAAATGAACTCAACAGCAAATCCAGGGTCTAATTTGTGTGAATCATGGGCCTGCAGGTAAGTTTGAGTACAGTATGTGTCTGTGTGTGGTAGAAGATGAGTCTCTGAAGCCTAGTCTGGATGTGGTAAAGAGAATCCCATTAGGTGCCCTGTGCCAGCATCCCTGACACAGAGGGAAAGTTATCACTGACTTGCTCAACTGAAGAGCAATGGGAGACTGAGAGACTGCAGAGGTTGACAAGGGAGGAACCAGCTTCTCTGCTGTAGTTGGCCTCCAGCTCCATTCTGACCATTTGATCTTGTCCTGTTAACAGAGACTGATGCATATTAAAGTCTTCAGCAAGGTCTTCCCAGCAGCTGTCAGTTAATTCTAAAACCCTGACCATCTGGTGAGTCCCATGTGCACAGAAAAAGATCAGTCATTTTCTTCAAGAAGAGAGAGAAATTTTCAGTTTGTGGGTATCACCTGGTGTCAGGCTGTGTTTCTGCTGCATGTCAGTGAAGGCAGGGTTGAGAAATGTTTGAGGATTCTGTTGAATTCTAGAAATGAGATGGGGAAATTTTCTGAATCCTCATTTTATATTTTACATTTTTTTGAGACTGGATCTCACTATATAGCCCTTACTATCCCAACACTCTCTGTGTAGAACATGCAGTCTCAATCTCACAGAGATTGACCTCCTTTCTCTGCCTCCTGATTGTTGCGATTACAGATGTGGACTGCCATGCCTGGCTTCAAGTACTGTATGTATAGCATCAATGGTAAATTCCTCAAACATTTGAGGGAAAAGAGACAAGTCTTGTGCTTCTTTCATCCTAACAGGTTCAGGGATTGAAGTGAAGGTTCTTTCATCCAGGATGGACTACAAACAGCAGCAAAGTCCAAATCTTACCTTCAGAATAGAAGTCTATGTCCACCAGTGAACAGATACCTGGAGGTGAGAACTGCTGTTATGAATTCTTCTGGGGACCCCGGTCAGTGGGCTGGAGGAGGTATACCCTAGCTGATACATCCTTGGAAACAAGGCACAGAGCATGCAAAGGCTACTCTCTAACCCTGTTTTTACAGGATACACACTGCAGTCCAGGCACAAATCCCATCACTTCAACCTGACCAACCAGGAGTGTCCAGATTGGCTACCTGGTCTAATTGATTGAGTTCTTTCCATTTGAGCCTTGAGATCACAGCTGAGGACTCAAGGTGGGTCACTGAGACAGCTGGCGCCTGTCTTGGGATGTTGGAGGCAGAGCTTTCACTTTAAGGACACCAGTGGCAGTGGCAGTACATGAAGCCACATATTCTACATAGGAGCTTCCAGTTCTACTCATCTGACACCCAGATTCTGTCTGCTTGTCTGCTGACTTCCATGGCTCCTCTTGCTCATGGGTCCCACAGTGCTTTTGTTATTTGTCAAAACCACTTTGGGTTGGTTTTAGGACACTGAACTTTGTTCATACTCCCTGGTTAATGGAGAGCCCAGGGCTGGAAGGTTTCTGAAATCTGAACCAACTGGGACTCTATGCAGCCCACTCTAGACAGTGCCTGATGATAGAGATGATCAGCCCCTCCCAGGAACATTGTGGACCATTCCAGGAAGACCTCTGTAGTATTTCATGTCCTGAGTGTTCTGTTGTTCATGTTCTGATGCCTATGACCTGCGCATTTTGCTTATGAAAGAAAACAGTGATCCTTATCTTTTGGGACAAGCTTGTCACACATAACACAGTCATCCTCAGTTGTATCTGTTTTCTGAAAAATGTCTAAATTTCATTCACTCTTGAGGGTGAGAATGTTCTTTTTATCCTGTATGCTCTTCATTTACTTATTTCATCTATTTATTTCCTTATCTCTGTGCTGAGTTATTTATTCATTTATGTATTCATTGTATGTCTTTTATATCAGTATCTTGTTCAAACTCATGATCCTATCTCTTCACAACTGCCTTCCACTCCTACACCTGCCCAAACAAAATTTAAGAGATTAAAAGGGAAAGTAAGATAAATTTTAAAAAGGGGAGAGACTTCACGGTTTCCTTGTGGAAGCTGCAGTGACCAAGTGTAACAGAGGGAGTCACACTATAAACCCCTCTGTCCACATGTCTTCACTTGCTAGTGCTCGTTACAGAGTCACTGGTCTGGTTCCAGGCCTTGGGTTTCTACTATGCTAATTTTGTATTTGATACTGTCATCTGTCCTTTGCAATTGGCACATTAACTTGTTTCACTCTGTGGGTATGCAAATTTAAAACTCTGACTTCAAAATCACCAGTGCCACAGCACAAACCCACTTCTAAATAAAGTGACATAGTTGAGCTGGAGGAGAGCAGATGATGAGAACCAGAGATTGCAGAGGCAGCAGGAAAGAATTGGCTAAGGGGTGAATTTGGAGAGGATTGAGGAGAGAGAGGGAAGGAGCCACGGGGAGAGGGTTGCACAGTATGTCTAGCTTAAGTGCTGCATATTTCAAGTTCCCCTAGAGTCCCATTCACATGTCCTTCCTCTTTAAAGTGATGAGCTCTCTACATCAGGAGACACAGGGTGGTGACTTGCAGGTGTGGCCTGAGTCAGCAGAAGCTGGAGCTCTGCAGGAAGTCCAGATGGCAGTGTGCCCACTTCCTCAGCATGAAGGGTCTGTGTCCAGCACAGGAGGAGGTGAGCCAATTACCACAGGTTTCCCTCCAGAAAATTCTCATTATCAAGGGAATATGTTTCAGGACTGGTGTTTCACAGCATCCTTGTCTGAGGGGAACTTGAGCCAATATCATTTACAAGCTACCCTTGAATGTGCAGACCCTGTGGACCAGTCTGCAGGGGAATAACTAGCAGTACTCATTAATCTGTCCACCCTTTAGGTTTCTGATCCTAGTGAAATGTTTCCCCACATGAGGGGAAGGGAGCTCCTTCCTCTCTTTCCTCTCCCTCCTACCCAGCTGTTGTATTTGCAGCCTTCATTTATCTCTGTGTCCTGACCATCAGAAAAGACACAGCCCCACTGAATGCTGGTCTAGTTTATGTGTTTGTGAAGGGGCCTCACTCTAGGGAGTTTCATCAGAACGATATTTGTCTCCTAACAGGAAAGTGACAGCAAGCTGGAGGAAAATGGGTACCACTTTGGATGGAATGCTAGGACATTGCTCCACTTTGGAAGTGAGTAGGCATTACCTAGCCTAGGGCACAGAGGTCAGAGGTGGGGTCAGCACTCTTGAAACTACTTTGTACCCAGGTCTCACTGGGTACAGTGGTCAGGCCTAGACAGCCTTGTTAACCATTTAGCTAGGGCTTTCTGCTAGGCTTTTTGCTTGCTTGTCCTGCTGGGATAATTATTTAGAGTGTTGTCAGGTGCACCTGACAGGCAGGCAGCCTCTCCATGCAGTGAAGGATGGAAACTCTGAAGAGGATGATTGTCAAGGCTCATCTCTGGGCAGCACATTGCTGAAAGCATCACTGAGACCACTAGCAGATGCTTAGTTTTTTGTTTCTTGTCTAAACTTGACTCTGGCTTATGGGATAGGAAGAATGAGGCGGATCAGGCAGGTCTGCCTCAATCCCAAGAGTAGGTGGTCACTTAACTTGTATTACAGAGGACAAGAGATCGATAGATGGATAGATAGATAGGTAGGTAGATAGATAGATAGATAGATAGATAGATAGATAGATAGATAGATAGATGATAAATAGATAGATAGATAGATAGATAGATAGATAGATAGATAGATAGATAGAAACAGCTGTGTCATGGCTACAGATGGATATTGATATAACTTGGTGTAGGTGGCACATCTCTCCCCTCTGACCTTAACACCATTGAGAAGGAACACTTTGAAACGAAGATGGTGAACATCTTCTCACACCTGTATGCTGTGACATCCATTCTGTCACTGGCCAGTGACTTAGTCTCTGTTGGGCTCCAGAGACTGGGGAATGGGGATTCACACAACCTAGCAAGGGAAACCAGCCAAGAGACAATGACCTGCTTGCTCCTCAAGACAACAGCTTGTCTGTGTGTCAGTGAGTGACCACTAAGGCAGGCTTCACCCTGATGCACTTAACTGAAACCAGGGCCTGTGGAAGGGAGTCTTGGGTACTGTGGCCAGGCACAGAATCTCTCAGGAGAGACTGCAGAGGTGTGACAAGGGGGGAGCCAGCTTCTCTGCTGTAGTTGGCCTCCATCTCCATTCTGACCATCTGACCCTGGGCTGTTAGCAAACACTGATGGATATTACAGTCTTTGGCCAGATCTTCCCAGCAGGATGATGGCCAGCTTTTGCTGTCACTGACTTCTAGAACCCTGACCATCTGGTGAGTCCCAAGTGCACAGAACAAGATCAGTCAGTTTGTTCAGAAAGAGAGAGAAATTTTCATTTTGTGGGTATCACCTGGTGTCAGACTCTTTCTGCTGCATATCAATGAAGGCAGGGCTGAGAAATGGTTCAAGATTCTGTTGAATTCTAGAAATGAGATAGGAAGATTTCCTGAATCCTCATTTTATATTTTACTTTTTTTGAGACTGGATCTCACTATATAGCCCTTACTATCCCGACACTCTTTGTGTAGAACAAGCAACTCTCAACCTCACAGAGATTGACCCCTTTCTCTGTCTCCTGAGTGCTGCGATTACAGATGTGGACTGCCATGCTGGCTTCAAGTACTGTATGTATAGTATCAATGGTAAATTCCTCAAACATGTGAGGGAAAGGAGACATGATCTGTGCCTCTTTCATCCTGACAGGGTCAGGGATTGAACTGAAGGTACTGTCATCCAGGATGGATTACAAACAGCAGCAAAGTCCAAATCTACCCTTCAGAGTAGAAGTCTATGTGCACCACTGAACAGATACCTGGAGGTGAGAACTGCTGTCATGAATTCTTCTGGGGACACCAGTCAGTGGGCTGGAGAAGGTATGCACTAGCTGATACACCTTTGGAAACAAGGCACAGAGCATGCAAAGGCTACTCTCTAATTCTTTTTCACAGGATTCCCCACTGCAGTGCAGGCATAAATCCCATGACCTCAACCTGACCAATCAGGAGAGTCCAGATTGGCTACCTGGTCTGATGGATTGAGTTCTGTCCATTTGAGCCTTGAGATCACAGCTGAGGACTCAAGGTGGGTCACTGAGACAGCTGGTGCCTGTCTTGGGATGTTGAAGGCAGAACTTTCACTTTAAGGACACAAATGGCAGTGGCAGTACATGAACCCACATATTCTAGATAGGAGCTCTCAGTTCTTCTCATCTGACACCCAGATTCTGTCTGCTTGTCTGCTGACTTCCATGGATACTCTTACTCATGGGTGCCACAGTGTTTTTGTTATTTGTCAAAACCACTTTGGGTTGGTTTTAGGACACTGAACCTTGTTCATACTCCCTGGTTAATAGAGAGCCCAGGACTATAGGTTTCTGGATTCTGAACCAACTAGGACTCTCTACACCCCACTCTAGACAGTGTGTGATGGTAGAGGTGATCAGCCCCTCCCAAGAACATTGTGGACAATCTTAGGAAGACCACTGTCCTATTCCATGTCCTGAGTGTTCTGTTGTTCATGTTCTGACCCCTATGACCTGCACATTTTACATAGGAAAGAAAACAGCGATCCTTGTCTTTTGGGACAAGCTTGTCACACATAACACAGTCATCCTCAGTTGTACCTTGTAGCAGTGGTGACTACACTACCACCACC